AGACGACTCTTCGTTGTTGTAAAATTGTGCACGCGTGGGTGTGGGGGAGGGGAGGGGGAGGGGGGGAGGGGTGGGTACGTATACAAAAGTATCATACCTGTAAGATCTTTTCTTCTAATGTTTTATTTCCACCCTGAAATATAAAGACAGAATTTAAATCTTGGCATSACGATAAAATAAACAACTGTGAATTGGTGCATCGTTTAGTAACGGATTATTTCTGATTGGTTTATTACCATTGTTATTTAGTTATTTACTTACCTTAAAATCAGTTTTAATTCCTCAAAAACGATTTTAATTTGTTTAATATTTGCCATTATAATATATCATTGTACTGGGAGGGAAAAGAAAGCATGCAGAGACACGAAAATATCATTGTTTACTCGTTTTCTTTTAACGTTACAAAAAAAGCTCAATAACGTGTGCTATGTGACGAAAAGAAAAACTTCTTTGCTAATTTGTGACCTTCATAAACGACATTACTTCGCTTATCAATGTGACTTACTGCAAAACTTAAATCTTTAATCATCGAATTGACTTTTTAAATCCAATAAACGTTTTTAATGTTTAAAGTGCCCGAAATCTGAACATTTTTAAGTGAATTTATTTTTCTTGTGCGAGGTGCTGTCCCAGCATTCCATGCAGTCACTTACGGCATGGTTAAGTTTTTCTCTGTACGCGATTTCAGGGTCAAAGTTTCCATCGTTCTAACAGATAACAATCATTTTATAATTTTAAAATGTCATTTATCTAATTCCGTTTTGTTTAGTTTTCACGCATGTGAAAAATTAAAAATTAAATTAAAAATTCTTCGTATTCTCATGATTTATATGCTGAACTCGTAAAATTAATTTTATTACTATGTGGTGTACAAGTTTTTTGTTCTTTTACATGATTATACGTTGTTTCGTATTTTTTGTTTAATATTTTGTATTGTAATTAACTTTATTTGTCTCATGATTTAGTGTTAGCACACTAATGATCACTGTTGAACAAAGAGGGAAATCAACTAGGACAGAAATTAAGAAAACTGGTTGAAAACCTACCTTGCCTAACTCGGCCAATTGTTGCACGAGAAAGTTTGCTGACACTGTTTTACCTGCTCCGCTTTCACCACTAATCAAACAACACTAGAAAAACAGAAACGAAAATCATATACATTCCTCTCAAAGCCTGCTATACAGGAAATTATTACGCTTGTCTGACAAGGGCTTTCACTTACAAAGTATGCATAAGCGGCTTCATAAACAGAAGACAAAGAAAAACACAAAACAATGACTAAATGAACAAATAAACAAATAAACAAATGAATAAACAAATAAATGAATAAATGAATAAATGAACAAATGAATAAATAAATAAATGAACAAATGAATAAATGAATAAATGAACAAACGAATAAATGAATAAATGAACAAATGAATAAATGAACAAATGAATAAATGAACAAATGAATAAATGAATAAATGAACATATGAACAAATGAAAAAATGAAAAAATGAAAAAATGAAAAAAATGAATACATTTAAATAAATAAATATGAAGCCAAAACAACAAACAAGCAAAGAAAAGTAACTGTAACCAGCGAGGTCGGAAATTCATTTTTCCGAATTTATTCCTAAGGGTCTTTCTCTCGGAATTGCCTCTTTCTAGCACTATAACCTTCTTTCATTTCTATACTGTAAAAAAAACGTTGTTTATGCTTGCGCTTGTGCATATGCAAGTCGATGTCTTAAATCAGACTCTACATGTAGACGTCATTCTATTGTGCTTTTCTTTGATGTCTGTTTATAACTCTACTTATGATTCCTTTGTGAGTGAACGGCAGGTCAACGTAGATGTGACATACCTGGGGCGCTTGGTTATGGATCATTGCTCTGTACGTCATGTCAGCAACCATGAAAATGTGAGGTGGCATCGCATTCTTGTCAACATGACGATACGYCTCGGAATGCTACATAGAAAACATGGTCATTAATGAGATTTACGAAAGATTTCATCTTAAATTTTTTTACTATGTTTGCTGGCCTATGATTGGACGTTAAATTGCGTTTCTTCATAAGACCTGCGGCCTCAGTGAGTTGGGCACGAGTAAAAAGACCGCTRACCAAATTGRTGTTATARATAATACATATTAATGAGAAATGCTGTGTCAATGAACCCACAACATGGCCGCCGTGACGTCATGAAAACCAGCAAACCTTGATTTAACTCCAATCATTTGTGTAATCAATGCAAAATACTCCAATCTTTTGTTTCTGCTAATTAATCATTCAGCTTTGAATTGAATTCGCCACATGTGATATTCGAGAATTCAATTCCATACATTCATAGATTGGTTTTCATTAATCCGTGAATAATGTTTATTATTATCTTTATATTTCTATACGTTTTTCGTTGGGCCTTCTCATACATTATTACACTTTGAGTATTACGAGTTATTTCACGGATTTATGAAAACTACTCGATGTTATTTTTAGTCACCTTCTTTGTGTATATATTCAAGGATTGTAGCGGGTTGACTGCAATCAGTATATCACCAATATACGTATAAATTTGCTGGCCAAGAAACCTCTCCAATAAGTGAGACAGAATGATTTCCTGAACAAAAACAACAACAATTTTTACTATATCTAAAATTTAGTTACTGGATTTATTTGTTTACAGTGCATTTTAACCATCAGAAATACTTAGAGTTYCCGTWAGTCTATAGGGAAGGKARTTTGAGTTCAGATTGTGCTCGGATCACTTTCGTGCGCGCTGATTTTTTTTCCTTTGGAACTAGAACATCTGTCGAGTTTGCAATTTTCACTTTCGYTCTTTTTCTATCATTTTTTAAAGCTAAAAATCTTTCAATTTAGTACGTACTGAAAAGATTAAAAATACGAAATCGAGGAATTATTAAATTGAAGTCTTTTAAAGTTCGCAGCAAAGACATTTCTATGTAAATTTGAATTTTAAATAATACATTTAGCAAAATTTGTTGTGTCATAGGACTATTGCGCAGTCTCAGTCGTCCTAAGAGGTGTCTTAGATAATAAAAATTAAAAAAACTTGTAAGAATTATATCGGCAATATTGCTTATTGTAATAAAATAATTGAACTCACATCAGTAAGGCTTGGAAGAGTCGTTAAATCGTCTACAAGCAACATTTCTTTATTTCGTCGAGCGTTTGGCTTGACGTATGGACCTTCGGTACTGCAAAYGCATGCAAAATACAAAGTTAACATAAAACCAAGCTATGATGTCACTTTCGACTTCGATAAACGTGACTTTTATATGGTTGATAACATAAATAATAAGCAAACACAATAATTACAAGCAAAAGCAACAAGTACATGGAACTTTCTCGTCGTTTTCATAAACAAATTAAAAACTTTTTACAGTCAAAATGAAGTTGAAATGACTTACGTTAAAACTCTTCCTTGGCTGGACTCTTTTTCGCGTTTAACTTCGTCCATAATTCCGTCTTTTCCGTGATACTGCGAATCCATCACTCCTCGAAGTTTACGTCTAAGCTGTTGGAAATAATTAAAACAAGTCTTAACTTGCAATTTTGTAAATCACAAAAAGGCGTGACTTTACCGGTATTCCAGTGACGTCAAGTTAAAAAGCGAAAAAAATACCGAGCTAAAAGCTCAAGATGGCTTAATTTTGGAGATTGAAAAATCTATATTAAACTTCGAAGAATTTTCATCAACCACCGACTGTTAGTCTTTTAATGYAGAAAATATTCTGGTTCCAAATGAGTGGTGTTTTTACGTCACAAGTCGGGGACTAGAAGTCTCTTGGCTTCTTTTGTCCATTAGGCTTTGCATGACTAATCTTCCCACGGACAGAAGGCATAATTTTTGGAATTAAAAAAATGACTCTAACTTTTAAGACTGTCAACCTATCAGGAATCATTTTCTATTGTCAGTTGTGCCATCCTAAGTCTGTATGATTCGTGGATTCCAAGAAAACAAAGTTATTGGCAAAAATAAATGAAATACAAAGCCATGAGTTATAAGAAATCAAATGGTTAAATATGCAATATTTTCCATGCAACGAGACTAAGCCATTTATAATACCAACATGGTAATAACGAGATATATTTCCGCCATTTTATGAGCTCAGAGATCAGCTTTAGCTTTGGAATCGGGATCAATGTATTTGTCACTTTAGTAAACCATGATCACAAAGTTTATTCAGAGATTATCAAGGATCACGGATAAAAACTGTCGTTTATTTTGGGATCAAGTATCAGACGTTTAGCCCTAGGATCGAGATCACCTCGTTACTACCCTCACAATAATGTTTCTTGAATGAAATAGCGTATCTGAGTACGTTTCATCGTTCAATGACTGCCTAGGGCTAATGTATTGTAATGATCCACAAATCATTGAAAMGTTGTAGGAATTTACTAAATATACTAAACAAAACACTTGACCAAACTGTAAATCTATCAAAGATGATTTGATTTATTTATCTATATTTATATACTCAAACATTATTAACTCGATGACATAAACTATCGTGACAATTTCAAACAAGTTTGAAAGGTTGGCCAATCAAGTGTTAAATACTGTCTATTATATTTGCATAATAATTTTTATGAAATATCAACCTTTGACGTCTTGTTTTCAAAGATTTTATTGCAGCGCATYTGTAATTCRTTGAAAACGTTATCAATAACAAAATTGTTTTTTCAAGAAAAACTAAATTGATACATATTCAAACTAAACAAAAAACAGTATAAATATCTGCAATGCCTCCCTCTCCACTTTTTCCAAGATGGCGGTKCAGWMTAGTCACGTGACCAYWTTAATCTTTACTTAWATGTATGGTCAGCGGTTCGATGGTCAWAKGAACAATATCATATTACATCATTCCTTGTTTTTGAGTTAGYGCATAACAATAWCTTACCGAATCGTGTTTGGTAGGYACCCAACTCAGAAAAGGATGTTCAAGAAGTTCCTTGGAGTACGATCTCTGCTCAAAATCCTTCACAAGACACCTTAAAAATGTTTGAATAAAGTATTAGTTAAAAGACTATAACACATACCCCAAGTCACGTTAACTTACTTCGCTACGAAATCCCGATACTCGTGCGACCATTTCTCAGGGTTTTTCATCGTTGGTGGTTTGCTCCTAAATCAGAAAATCAAAAAAACATTTTAAAATTTTGACAGAGTTGACGCCTCTCGAATTCGCATGAGTGCTTGCAGTAAAATAGTTTCAAAGAGAGGCTAAGGTGATCAGATCCGTGTGTCAACCTAAGCCTCGACGTGAGGCTAGTAATGACTGTTAACAATAGTGTCGGTTAATCATATCATTATTCATCCATAGTTCTTCTACTATCGTTACCTTGGTATTTTGAACAACGCTCTCATTGGATGTTCTTCTGATAAAGGTGAACGTCCATCGGCGAGTTCAATAGCCGTGATCCCCAAGGACCAAATATCACATCGAAGGTCGTAGTTATACTCAAGTTGTTGCTCACAAGCGATCACCTTGTTGGTACAAAATCAAAAGAAGAAACAACGTTAAAGAATGGTATTGAAAAAGACCTGCATGGTTGTTTTATTGAGTATAGAAACACGCGGAAGCTATTTTTCACGATTAGACCTGTTGGGCGTGAAAACTCGCATCTAGTAAATCGTCCTTTGATAAAGAAGCGCTAGACGAATGACCATAAGCAGGCGTGCTTTATCATAAAAMACACTTCTCGTACCTCAGGCGCCATCCAAAAAGGAGTTCCAACGGACGAATTTCTTCGCGTCTTTACGTTTGCTAACTGGGCAGAAACACCTGAAAAACACAAACAACAAAGATGCCATGGATTGAGAAAATGATATGAAGCTATGTAGGTGAATAGTGAATGATAGAAACCTTACCAAAGTCAATGAGTCGAATCTCAGCATCGTTGGTTAGCATKACGTTCTGCCCTTTGATATCTCTGTGCATTACACAATTGCGATGCAAGTATTCGATTCCCTGACAAAAAAAATCAATTAATTAATGATGAATGAATAATCAATTGCATGAATTAATTGATGATTAATCAGGGATGAAAATGTTATCGAATGAATAACTGAACGGTCGAATGGCTGGAGTTGGATGGAAACGAAAAAGATGAAATGTGAACAAATGGAAGAGAATGAAACGAGATAAGAATTGGAGAAATAACGTTGAGTCAATCAGTGTTCATGCTCACCTTTAAGGTCTCATAAAGAATATAAGCAATCAGATCTTCTTCTAATGCTTTGCCTTTACTCACAAGATTTCGCGCCAAGTTTGTAACTGAACCTCCTCGACAAAGCTACAAAACAATAAACAGAATCAGTTGATTTTGTGCTATTTAGATGAATATTACAAAGTATGAGGAGAACTAAGATGTAAAGAAAGAATAAGTTTGTAGTTGTAAAAGTATCGTGTGTGTAGATACACAGAAGAGCAAGGCAGCGCTTTTCGCAGCGCAGTTGGTCACTTGGCCACAGGTCACCCATAAGAGGACATAATTCAATAATCACGACAYGGACTATAGAAAATATCGCGGAAATGCCATTGAAAATATAAACGCAACATTGTAACAATATTAAATCAAAGAGGCTTCAGGAAATACACATCATGACCAATAGTTCTAAAGGCCCGTTTACACTTGCGATTTGTGCAGCGCGATTGTCGCGCAGCGACACTTGTTCTCGCGCACCTCAAATTGTACATGTCAACAGCCCTGCGATTGTCGCGGGGATCGAAAATCGCCGCAGGTTGCAGCTAAATTTCAAGCATGTTCGAAACTCAGGCGATTGTCGCGCGACAATCGCGCTTCAAAAATCGCAAGTGTAAACGGGCCTTAAGACACAAAAATGCATCCTTTCCTCCAACTTCATATACAGCCATCACTTCACTTAAAGGGAAATTTCATATACAAGAATGTTATTGAGATCCTGAGATCACGAGGTCCAAGGAATTCTTCTATCGAGAGCAGCAGGCCTAGTAGTTGACTCCAAAAAATGATAATGTTGGCCGTGAACGAAACCGCGTATTGCAGGCACATTGTTCTAAATTTATTAACCTACTAAGGAAATAGTTTGGCTAAACTAAGAAGAAAATAGCGATTATTTTCAAAGATTATTGATTAAAAACGAATGCAGACCATCGCTGATATTTACTATTATATCGATACTAATTTGTAAACCATATTTAAAAAAAACAATATTGCAGCTTTCACCCTTCATTGAGCACCTCACAACACAGCACAGCCATCGCTATCGCCTCGAAAATATTCCCTTTTTTATTTTAATACTTATTTTATTCCCACCGTGCGGTCACTAGCGAATTGAATTAAAAATTAATAAACACTTTGTGTTTATTTAAGAAATGACTTAGGCTGTCATGGAATGAAAATCTGTAGTTTCTTGAAACACTCAACTGAATTCCAATGTATATTAATTGTWAAGTAAGTCAAAGTCGTACCTCCATGACAAGCCATAGTTGATCTTGTCTCTTCTGATCCCGCTTAATATACGCTCCGAAGAAACCAGCCACATTTGGATGATCGGAGTACTTCTTCAGAATTTCTAATTCTGGCAATACTTCTTCGATTTTTTCTAGAATTGAGTCGATGACTTTGGCTGCAGCAACTTGATCTGAGCTGCTGTTCCGTACTTTGAAAACTTCGCCGTAAGTTCCTTCGCCGATACTCTCGACAATTTCCCACTCGTCTGGTGAKCTCAGGTCTTTCAATCCTTCGGCTCTCTTGCCCATCACGGCTGTAAAGACAACAAGCAAATTATACACTTAAATGAAGTACAAATCAAAGTCATGATTTAACTAATAGTTCGCAACTTATATTTATTAAACTGAAAGTTTCTTGAAGTCGTATCGACGRACTTACCAAACATCTCCTCTGTCCTGCTATAAAATGATTCCAAAGACATGCTAATTCTACAAATTTCTAGACTTAAATGACTCTATAATAAACTAAATCAACTCATCTTTGATAAATTTGAGCTACAGTCCTCGGCCGTCATGGAGGAACCGAATAATCGCGCATAACAACATAGAAAAGCTTTTTACGCTTGAACAACCAGAGTCAATGGTAGAACACGGTGGATATTTTGAATTGAAAAACAAACCAAAACCAACCATCCACAAATGAGAAACATCAAGACACTTGGAAAGTGTTTGACTTGACAGTTCTCTGTGGCAGTGGATTTCTTGAAAGCAATAAGGTGTCTATTGTTTTAATATGATTGATTTTCMCAATTGTTCAAACTAATTGCTCCAGGATGACGGGATTGGGACACCTGCCTCGAAACACGCGGGAAAATTTCAAAATGGCCGTCAAGCGCACCGGAAAAGGAATGTTATAAATATCTTCAAATTGTTTCAATTTTTAATTATTCAACAACTCAAAAGAAATTGTTTATCAGGAAAACAAACACACAAATTTAAAAACAAAACAAAAAAAAACAAAAAAAAAAACTAGTAAGAAGAACGAAGTGTAAAAAGATCAGTTTTTTTCACAGTGCTGTATCTCTCATGTGCCYAACTTAATACAAATAACTGACATCTTGTTGTCCTCTCATTTTTCTTAAAATTTTGAAAATTTGAGACTCGAAATGCTTCGTGTCTTGATTTCACGTTGAACGTAAAATGCGATAGTCGAATTTCCACTGYATAGTCAGACTTTCATGCAATAAAAGACAGAAATAAATAAAATCAGTATTCTGTGATTTTAACTGGTGAAAAATAACGACAATAATGATAATTGCTCCTCGCTCGTTCAAACAACTCGTGAATAAAATCCCCGTACGTCGCTCCATTAAATAACCTATATTTACGTCACGGTACCTCGACACTAACAGAACATTCTCGCATGCATTTTATGAATAAAAACATCACAATAAATAAAATAATCTATATTTTCTTTTTGCAAAGAAACACATTWAACCTGTGACAGGACAAATTTTTGTTTGTTTACTGAAATKCTATCYTACCCTTTTAAGTTTGACTGAGAATTSTTTTTGAGATACGACCGGGACACAAAAATAGACATGATGACTCCGCGTCGCCATTTWTGTCATACTGTCTTCACAGCAAGACTCCATTGGAAATTGTGCAATAAATCCAACAAATTTATATTTTTAGTTCATTTGAAAGCAGTCCACATGATAAATCGTCGCATGAAAGGCCGGCAAATTTAGACAATCAAAATAGAGGTTTATTGCCGGTCTCTCACAAGRATTAGAACAACATTCTCTAGAATTGTTGCAATTTAAATGCAATGCTCGAACAGTATTTCGTATTAATTGTATGTAAGTCTAGGGTAAGGTTTTGCTGTTTATTGTAGTTTTTGTTGTTTGTTTTGACGCAATGCCATTCTAAGTTTGAAAAAAAATCTCTTTCAAAAAGATATACGATGCTAAACGAAAACAAAAGTAAGAATTTTAAAAACGACTTTTCAGACTTCGTTTATCGTCCCCGCCGGTTTTTAAAGAGCGCTCAGCCGTGTGGATTTTAGGTCGTGATCGGTGAGGTCCTTCTGAAACATCTTTAGCATCCTAAGTCTAGTGTCACACTGACAGGCGCGCTGATTGGTCACAAGCGCGCTTTTCATAGATCACTGATATCTGAAACGCACAGGAACCATTCTTTCTTGTTTATTTATCGTAAAACCAGGAAATAAACTTTCCGACTTTGTTTATCGAAGAATATAATACGTTTTTTACTGGTATAGATATAAAATATCGTTTAGAATGAATAGAAAATAGATTATTCTCCAATTTGTTCTCAAAGTAATGTCGAGTTTTAAGAGTTTTCGAGATCTGACTGCTTCCTTACAAAWTCAATATGGAAATTGTTTTCTTATAGTATAGCTATGATTATYTTTTTCATAAATTAAATTGCTCTTAAACTTTTTACAATGACCTAATAAGCCTTTCAATATGAGAACCGGTTTTATTTAGACTAAAATGGCTCTCAAATATGATGGCATGGTGGCCCCTGAATGCGATGTTGGTTCTGATCAGTACTTTCATACTCAAAAATTGATTTTTTTCTTTTTCACTTTCATAAAGCCAAAGCATTTTACTATATTATGTTAAGAATAATGATAAGGCAGTCGACAAGACAGTTTCAAATTAAATATGTTAATCGAAACTGGTACAATGACTTCAGATGCATACAAATTAGAAATGGAATCTATAGCTGAATTTTAAAATTTAAATCTAAATTTTAAAATGCTTGAATCGAAAGAAAATGGAAAGTTGATTGTTTTTTCAACAACTTCACTTCACAAAAAAATACAYATTTCTCTGCTTCCCGGGATACGTGTCGCGATTTTAATATGCATTATTTATAATGAAGTTTGAATGTTGAATATAATCCAAAAAATTCTGTACTGCTCGATGAATAAGAAAGTTTGTATATATATATATATGATATATATAATTATACTCTGTGACAGGAAAGCTGTAAGATGTATTTGATCCATTGGACATGAACCATCAATAAATATGTCAAAAATGTCACTTGTAGAATTATGCCAAAACATTTTCAAGTAAAATTAAATTACTTAAGTTTTATAAAAGTTTCTTCATTCAAAATACTCACATTTATCTTCATCGTATAGATTCCCATTGATATCAAACTGTTCACGAAAACTGTCGGGACTTTCAACCAACTCGTTCGCTTTCTTGCGAACTTTTATCGACTTGGGCATCAAGGCTACAGAAAGTTTTCTTTTTTTTTATCGCAGGTACACTAACTCAGTGTTTTCAATTCAGAATACATGGTGAATTATTTCAAAACTTAATATCTCGATGAGCATTTTCAATTTGCTTTGTCGCATTTTGTAACTAGTATACCTAAGGAAAATCCTGTAAGAAGGAGAAGATATGATGTGGTGTCAATTATGTCGGAGATGCATTGTAGTACAATATGCATAAGTCATCATAGAACGATAATATAGAAGCCTGTAGCCTGGAAACCACCAAATCTCACTATGAATCATTTATGACTATAGAAACGTGCCTGTCAAAGGTTATATTTATAGGTTTACGCCCAGTTCATTTACAACCACTAAAAACTTCGGGCGCTAAAATCGCTCCCAAAGCGACAATTACACTTTTTCATTTAGGAATGAAAACTGAAGAACACAAGATCATAAACAACCACATAGTGTGATTATTGTTTTATATTAGAGGCCGCTACGAGTAATTAAACTTATCTTAGTAACGGCAGTCTCTGAGATTAAATTTATAATCTAGTTTTTTTAAGATTTCACAAAAATAGATWTCTTAAAGCAGGTCTGAAAAGCAAAAAATTTGTATTAATATACCAAAATGTGTATAGTGTAATTCGTGATAAATTCAATACAATACATTAATGAATTATTATGAAACTAAGATAAACAAGAAATGTTCGAAACGTTAGGAACGAGTGCTAGTGAATTRACAGTCAAAATTACTAGAAAACTGCTGAGTTTCAGTTTAGATTGTCTGGCTAGTTTACATGTGTTCTGATTCGAGAGCTGAATGTAACTGAACTAGGTGTACAAATTAGACTCAATAATAACAAAACAGTTGGTTCTTTAGCCGGGAAATGAAAAATAGAATATAAATATATTTAAAAAAGAGACTTTTCTCATCGATAAATATATCAGSGAATTTTATAAATATACTACTATTTAAAGGCTAATGTTGCAAGAGGCAATCCACTGCAAAAATGATGTTTCGTGTACGTAATACGATGTTGAAGGCAAAAGATTGATCTTACGCAACATGGTGCAAAAAAATCCCGAATCTGGCTTTGTAAATTTTTACTCCAGTTTTCAAAGCTCGTAACGCGTTGCCATGTCAAGAAATCAATACTCTCGCCATGCTACACGATTTAAAGTCATACACTATAGTCCCTAGAATCGTCTCGTGCAAGTCACCTTGCGTAACATCAGCTTGACAACTGTTAAACTAACCTTCCACAAGAATCTTGTATCTCGGATTCACCATTTCCGTCCAATTACCAGGAGAATTATTCCATGTTTTTATACCGAAGCAATAATTATAAGTGTTTTTCTCTTAATTGTGTGGCGGTCACTGCTATAAACTGAAATACATTTTTTTCATTTTTGYGTTGAAATTAAAAAAMRGATTGTTTKTAGGAATGCAGCCATAACATTTTCAAATTTGCCTTCACGCCATCTCGCAGATCAATAATTTCGTTACACTCAGTTTCATTTTTAACATCAAAGCGAGTTAAAGACYCATGGGACTGGTCGATCTTAATGTTGACAAACTATTTCAATAAAAACAATAGTTTCAATTAAAAACAATAACATTTCCATAAACAGAAAAAGTTCCAAAACTAAAGGTCATAAAACGGCATTATAACTCGGTGGCAGATCCGGGACATTACAAATGGGGTTGGCTAATTTAAGAAAATTCTTGATTATTTCATCCCGGRAATCGTATTCGTCAAAATGAGTTCCAATGACTCGACACCATCACCGCTCATACAACTAATATAGTACAGCTCTTCACAACTATCWTCAATAGTGGTGTTAAAAAGACCGAGACAGAAAGCGATTGACTGACTCACACATACTGAGCGTTGGTCAATGACTCCGATGAATTAGTTATATTTTCTGGTTTGTCAAGYCAGCGGCACTTTCACTGGAAAAAATCGCGCGCTTTTTAAAAAACCTTTAAAAAGGTTGTAAATTTGATGTAAATATGATGTAAGTGTCCAAAATTCTGTAGATTTGATGTAAATGATTTCCATTAAATTTACAGAATTTTGGACACTTACATCATATTTACATCAAATTTACAACCTTTAAAGCGCGCGATTTTTCCAGTGTTTGTCGGAATTTGGCCCATGACATGGAAACCGGARTGTTCCTGGATTCCGGTTTCCATGAAAGATTTCGGCGCAAGGATTCTGCGTCTCATCCTATTGGATTCGGAATGCAAAATATCCTAGCTTTTTACAATTAGAAAGAAYTTGAAGTCAATAATTCGATGGTTCCAGATTTCCAAGTATCTGGATTTTGTCGGATTCCGGATTCCATGTCATGAAGCGAGTTAATGTTGCTAGCAAATATTAGCAATAAACACATTTCGGCGCAAACTTAATTAAAATTGATCTGTCAATGAAAACAAAGTAGTTGCCTCCATATTAGATCTATTACTATCATATATCAGTGATAAACATATTTTGACGCAAAATTTAAATTGTTCCATCAGTGAAAACAAAGTTGTTGCTTCCATAAGAAGTAAAGCTACCTTTCATGAGAAAAGAACTGAAAATACGAGTTCATATATTAAGAAATCCATGGATTTGAGATGCCCTATTCTTCTTATACAAAGCCATACGAAAGTCGTAATAAAACATATTAGACACACTAAACCAGCAACAAAATGATAGCAAAACAAACTCACCRACTGACGTCGACTTTAGTGGAACCTTCCAAGAAACCTTTTTCTTCAACTTGGGTGAATTGGTCGTTTTATTGAGCTTTATTTTCTTGTGACGCTGTAGAAACATCATGAATACGGAAAAAATCCCTCTTCTAAGCCTTGTTTTTAATCCTACTACAAAATAAAAACAAAGTTGGCTCACTAGTTAAAATTATTCTCTTCAGGTGATTTAGTAAGATTACGATGAGAATTTTGAAAGARTYCAAGCAACTACAGAAAGATTCCAGTGATGAACAATTAGCGAATGTCAAAGTTTTTAAGAATTTTAGTCATTCGTAGATGTAATAAATAAGGGTGTGTGAAGATATAATTTGAATTTAATTCGAATACTTGGTCACTATTCTTTAGTGAAAATTAAACCTCAATAGACCTATCAATCAGTGTTGGGAATAGTTAGAGCTGGAATAACAGAAAACGAGTCCAAATAAAAGAAGGACTCAAACTCAAATAAGAAGTAGAATAGTTTAAATGAGGAGCCCATTACTAATTACTAGTAATGGGCTCCTGTTTAAATGGATTTGATTATGAGTTCAGAAGAAATGATATGGAAAGAATGAATTTAATAAACAATTTAGTTTAAGGCAAAATTAAATACAGATCACACAGAATTAAAATGAAGTCATATATTTAGCAATTTATTACAATAAAATTGCAAAATTTACAATCATATTCTGCACTTCGTACAAATCGTAAAATAAATGATTGACAWGGTTGATTGACGGCGTTTTTGATGAAGACAGCTCCCGATTTGAACTCATTCCCCCTCGACCTTGTTCAAAGGACCTTCTCTCATGTACACAGTGAGACGTCAATGGACTGGGAACGAAGTTTGCCATTGGTTGTGTCTAGTACGGTCTATATCGATTGCTTGAAAGTGGGAAGTTCTGTCGATGGCCCTACGAAAGTAAACGATTGATGGCTATTGTCTGAACAAATGGTATTTTTTCAGTGACACAGTTTATTGGTCATTCAAAGTGATCTATTGATGGATTTATAACAAACAAACAAACAGACATGGCGGTTTCTACAAACTCGTCCCTAGCCTCTTTTCTCTTCATTTGGATGAAAAGAAAAGGGCCTGAGAACGAGGTTATTGACTAATAACAGAACACGTTACAATGACGGATTACATGGATATATCATTTACCCTGTTCTGATTTCTACCATGCTGTTGTTGGTGCTGTTGTTGGTGCTGCCCCTGGTACTGCTGTTGGTGCTGCCCCTGGTACTGTTGTTGATGTTGCCCCTGGTACTGTTGTCGATAGTTCTGTCCCTGGTGCTGCTGTTGATTATATCTTCCATGACTAGGCCCAGGTCCCATTAGAGACTGATTGCGCGAGGGTTGTTGACTATAGTTTCTATGGTGCCCGCCTCCTTGGTAGTTATAACTATTTCGACCGTCGTTCCGTTGGTTGTAATGATAGGACGAGCTGCCTCGATGGCTACCTCCGTAGTTCGAGGGAGGGTAGCTCTGTCGACGATCATACGAGTCTCGACTACCCTGACTTTGACGATCATGTGTGTAATGACTGAAAAATAACACAAGAAAACAGCATTAAAACTAAAAGTACTAATTATGTAGCGCATCCACAAAACCAACATTCCATGCTATAGAAAACCTTTGTAAGATGTACATGGGTCGGAATACAGAGGTGTAAGGATCATAAACTGCATGTAAACGGGTTACACTGTAGTTAAACTATTTCTYGATAGAAAACTGATCACAGCATATTTAGTTAAATGATGGCACAGTGGTTTTAGTGCCGGGCTCGGAACACAAGAAATTCTCGAAACCATAACCTACCCCGAGCGAGAATACAAACCAAAGAGAACTACAAAAGAAACCACATTACTTACTTGACACCATTGTCTTGGACTCTGACCTTGACATAAACACATAAGCAGCCAGCACTTACCACCTTTGATAGCTCATCTATTTATCTTTTTCATCGTACTTTTTAATCTCTCTCTTTAATTTTTTTTAGATCTTTATTTTTTGAATCGCTCTCTATTATTTTTTTTAATCTTTATTCAATCTTTTTTTTATAGTTTTATCTTTTTATGAGCTTTTTTTTGGTTCTTACACAGTATGCAGCCATTACTAMGCTTGCCAGCGAAGCASGAAYGCTTGTTGCATAAAGTAAAAATTCAAGGCAAGAAGCCCAGTCTTACTTAATCATTCTATGTCCTGGCGGAGCAAYGGATGCATACGATTGTCTGTTTGAATTCATGCCGATAGTTGGTCGCCACGGTCGATTGTTACCATAATCTTCAGGTTTAAGGACACGAGCCGGAGGTCTAAGGTTTGACGAAGTTAAAGAAGAAAAAAGAAAGATAAGTGAGATTATATGGAGGATGAAAAGATGTGAAAGGTAGAGGGAAATTCAAACGGTATAGATACAAACAAAAAGAAGAAATACCGTATTTCTTCTAAGCTGTTGAAGTAAGTAAATGAAATAGGGGATGTAAGCACAAACGATGAAAGCAAAAATAGAMCTCTGAAGCTTTTACGTCATATACCATATACGCAATGCATTGTGGGATATGTTTAGGACAAAACATACGGCGTATTTTTTCGAAGTTTCTCAAGAAACTRATYCAACAATGCAWWRYAAARTARRKKASGYRA